AAAGTGCAAAAATTCTAAAATGGCAGGATCCAGAGGGACAGACAGGCTATTTCCAACCATATGTCCTCCCAGGACTCCCAGTTAATTTGTGGGGTCGGGACATTTTGGAAGACATGGAAGTCATTCTCACCACGCAGGGCTCCTCATCAGCCCAGAAAGCCACCAGAATAATGCAAAAGATGGGATGGACTCAGGGCAAAGGCCTAGGAAAGTCAGAACAAGGCTTAACGTGCACAGTAGCAGACCTTCCAACTGATACCCGTGCCCCCAAGGATAGAAGAGGCTTGGGGCATTTTTGATGAGGGTCACTGTTGCGCCGCCAACACCCATACCAATTAAATGGCTTGATAACACTCCAGTGTGGGTAGAACAGTGGCCTTTGTCTAGAGAGAAGCTTCAGGCGGCCCATGAGTTAATTGAAGAACAATTGCAGCCTGGACATCTCATCCCCTCTACCTCTCCGTGGAATACTCCCATCTTTGTTATAAAAAAAGTCCTCTGGCAAGTGGCAACTGTTATAGGACCTGCGTGCCGTTAATGCCACCATGCAACCTATGGGACCCCTTCAACAGGGCTTACCCTCCCCGGTGACAATTCCCCAAAAATGGCACTTGGTTGTTATAGACCTTAAGGATTGTTTTTTCTCTATACCCCTGCATATTCAGGATAGCCCTCACTTTGCTTTTAGCCTTCCCTCCATTAATTTTCAAGAGCCTGCCCTGCGCTATCAGTGGGTCGTCCTCCCCCAGGGTCTGGCTGCCAGTCCTTCAATTTGTCAGATGTATGTTGCTGCTTGTTTGGACCCACTTAGGTGTAAGTTCTCCTCCTTCCATATTGTCCACTATATGGATGATATCCTTCTGGCAGCACCAACAAAAGAGGAAAGTTTACTAATGTTTGCAGAGTTACAGACCCTTCTGGAGGGACATGGGTTCATTTTGGCCCCAGAGAAGGTGCAGATGCAGCCCTCCTATTCTTATCTGGGCTTTCAAATCCAATCCGTCAGGCTTCAGCCTCAGAGGCTGCAGTTGGATTGCTCCCATTTGCGGACCCTCCATGACTGACAGAAATTATTGGGAGACATTCAGTGGATCCATTCTTCCCTTCCCATTCCTACGGGAGTTCTTAAGCCCCTTTATGACATGCTGCCTGGGGACCCTTCCCCTGCCTCCCCCAGGATCATGACTCCAGCAGCAAAAGAAGCCCTATATGCCTTGCTTAATGCTCTTGAGCGAGCACATCTCCGCCGCCTCAATTATTCCCACCCTTTTTATTTCATGGTTTTTTCTTCACAATTTTCACCTACTAGCATTTTTTGGCAAGGGGGACCCATTTATTGACTACATTTACCTGCTTCCCCTAAGAAGGTAGTGACCCCATATTATGAAATGGTGCTACAGCTTCTATGGAAGGCATATGATTTTAGTTTACAAGTTTTTGGCAGAATCCCAAAAAATTTCTAATCACTTATCAAAAAGAGGAAATAACAAGGCTACAGAGGAGTTCAAGATGGATGGACCTTGTTCATCACAACCACTGGAGCCATTTTTGATAACCATTGGCCTGATTCCCGTTTAATTTCATTTTTTAAGAATCATCCTGTTATCTTTCCAAGAATTATTAAAACTTCCCCCCTTAAGGGAGTGTGCTCAGTGTTTACTGATAGTTCTTCCAAGGGCTATGCAGTGGTGGTCTCTGACTCAATTAAAGAAAAGCAGCCCCTAGGTCCAATTTCTGCCCAAGCTGCAGAACTCACGGCCTGCCTTATGGCCTTTTCTCTTTTCAAGGATCAACCCTTCAATTTGCATACTGATAGTATCTATGTGGCAAGGATTGTTGGGCCATTGGAAACCTCATCTTACATATTACCTACCTCTCAGGTTTTCCACCTTTTGGTTCAGCTGCAGAGTCTTATATGCCAAAGAGTGTTTCCTGCCTTTGTTGGCCATATTCGGGCCCACACTGATCTGCCAGGGCCCTTGGCAGAGGGAAATAAGCTTGCAGATTCCCTTACCCGCCCAATGGCATTGTTCCTTTCTGAGGAACAACGAGCCCATCATCTTCATGAAAAGTATCATTTAAATGCCTCTTCTCTAAAGTTTCACTCTGGCTGTTCTCTAGCCACAGCTACTCAAATCACATCCCAATGTCCAGCTTGTGCTCCATTTCATAATGCCCCCAATGAAGATGTTAATCCTTGAGGCCTCCGTCCTAACCACCTTTGGTAGATGGATGTTACCTATTTGTCCCAAGCTGGTAGACTTAAATTTTTACATGTCTCTGTAGACACTTAATCCAAGGTAATTTATGCCTCCCTGCATTTAGAAGAAAAGATTAAGGACGTTATTGCCCATTGTCTACAGGCTTTTGCCTATCTGGGCATCCCAGATTTTCTCAAAACAGACAATGGACCGGCTTATACCAGCCAAAGGTTTGCAAAATTTTGCCAAGAACATCAAATTACACATACCTTTGGAATTCCACATAATCCCACAGGACAGGCCATAGTGGAGCGCACGCATGCTACCCTTAAACAGGTTTTTTTTTTGTAAAATAAAGAAGGGGGAGTATATCACCTCCCCAAATACTCAGTTATCTACAATTTTATACATTTTAAATTTTTAACAGTAGATAAACAAGTTCTATCAGCAATGGAAAGACATTGGCAGAAACCTTCCCAATCTCTGGGTTGGGTTAGATGGAAGGATAGTATCACAGGACAGTGGCAATCACCCACACCCATGTTGGCTAGGGTGAGGGGAGCCATTTGCATTTTCCCTCCAGGAACCAAAAAACCCATCTGGGTGCCAGAGCAGAAAGTTCGGCCAGTGGAGCCAGGCCCTACTGGCCCTGATAATATGGATTCAAGTGAAGAATATCAAGGGAGGCCTGAGATGGGCACTGGTGAGGAATCCACCCATACTGATGCCAGTAAGTAAAATAAACTCTGTTTTTCCATCCTTTTTTCCACCAATTATACATTGGGGGTTCCTACCGCAAATACAGCATTAGAAAGATCTTAATTGGGTAATTTAACGTTTGATATATCCCATGCCCTCTGCTTCCGGAGGATTAGCAATATTCCAGTGATGCCCAGTGTCTCCCTTTCTGGACCATGTGTGGTCCTTAGTAATTATTCTCTGGAAGACTTTTCTTCTAATTCTTCTGGGCATCCTTGTTTTGGATTGAGAGATATCTTTTACCCAATAAATTTTAAAAGAAATGTTTCTGGACTTCCAACCCCTCCGAGACCAGCTCCCTTATGTTGGAAGACGCCACAATCCTTCAGATTGTACTTACCATTACCTTGGGGAAATTGTGCTCGTAAGGAACCATGGAAATTGAAGGGAGATAAATATTTATGGTGGTTTGGTCACCGACCTACCTTTAAAAACTCCTTGAGAGGGGCCTTTGATTATTCCTATAGAAATCCAAATATGGCAGGAGTTTCATCTACGTTCGCAGGCATGTTTCTCTGCGGCCCGCGTGCATGTACAGATATTAGGCCTTTAGCCCTTCAAAGGGGCTTGGCCTTCAATGCTACAGCCAGATGGAACACATCAGACATCTTTGAAACATCCCTCCAGATTAATTATGCAGAGGAAATTAATTTCTCTATTGTCAGCCTAGCTTGTGTTCTGCCTCCCTTTATGTTTGTCTCCTTTAATGGGTCGGTTGGGGAGAATGGTGTCCTTGACTGTTCTTCCAGCTCCTGCTTTTTGAGCAATTGCTGGTCCCCAATGGATGAGTCCATGCTGATGGTGAGAATTCCTGACCTGGTTCCCCTGGTGGTAGAAGACCCACATGATGGACGAGAACTTATCTTGTATCGAGAGAGAAGAGACTTTGGAATCACCGCCGCAGTCATCGCAGCCATCGCCATATCAGCCACAGCCACCACCGTTGCGGGAATCTCCGTGTCCCAGAATGCAGCTACTGCAGAGACTGTTAACACTCTTGCTGCCCGTGTTACCCAGGCCTTAGAGACTCAAAATACCATTAACTCACATATTCAATTGGGGATGTTAAATTTAAATCAGCAAACAGCCTTATTGCAGGAACAGATTAATGTGCTGTGGATGGTACAATAAGCTTCTTGTTCTCATTTCTATCATTCTGCCTGTGTGACCCTTATGGAAGTGAAAAATATGTCCTTTGAGGTGCAACGCCTTGATGCTTACCTTAGGGGGCCTTGGAATGATTCCTTTGTAAACTTTACCCACTCTTTGGTACATCAAATTATTGCAATTAATGAAACTCATGTTAAACCTATATCTGCTGAGGGATGGTGGAATGCCATGGCCCAGATTGGGGGTTGGGCACAGCGATGGGGAGGTGCCTTATCCCTGGGAATCTTGGGGCTAGTAGGGGTGGCAGTAGGCCTGCTCCTCTTAAAACGAGTCCTAAACATCTTCACCATGACTGAGCTTGTCCACCGTCAGGTGTTACTCAGTCTGGTCCATGACTCTCACGGAAGTCATGAGGTGTGGCTCCAGATGCTGAAAAAATAAGGGTCTCCAAGGACGGGCAACCTGTGAGGAGACCCCCTCACACCTAAGACAGGGCATTGGGGGCCCTATGACGGGTAAGGGAAGGTACTTCCCTTGCAGGACCTAAGACAGGACCCCTCATTATAAAATAAAGTAGGGGGAATTGTGGGAACTGCAGCCCCAAGTTACTTATCCCTGCCCCCATTTGAGGGGCTTATCTGCAAAGAAAACATAATAAATTCCCTCTGCTCCTGGAGTTGGGAAAGGAATTTTGAGTGCATGGTGACCCCTGCTGAGGTCAGGTTACAGTCCCTTCGCAGCCCCCTCCTCATTTGGTGCCATGGTATAAAAGTTAGCCCCAGCAGAACAATAAAGAAGCTGTTCCACCTCAACCTCGTGCTCTGTGAATTCATTCAACCTGGACACCCTCCTCGGAGACTCTTGGTTCCAGCCCGCGCTGGTGTGGTACCCTGATGCTCCACGGGTGCTAAGCCCGTCCAGGTCGGGAATATGGTGAAGTATTTCCGAAGTTCCTGGGACCAAGTGTTCGCTGCCTTCTGGCAACGGTACCCGAATCCCTATAGCAAACATGTCTTAACGGAAGACACAGTACACTGGGAGGAGACCCCTGACCAGAATCTTCTGTCCCGGAGACTCCTGACCAAGACCAACAGGATGCCACGTTGGGCAGAGCGACTTTTTCCTGCCAACGTTGCTCACTCGGTGTACATCCTGGAGGACTCTATTGTGGACCCACAGAACCAGACCATGACCACCTTCACCTGGAACATCAACCACGCCCGGCTGATGGTGGTGAAGGAACGATGTGTTTACTGTGTGAACTCTGACAACAGTGGCTGGACCGAAATCCGTCGGGAAGCCTGGGTCTCCTCCAGCTTATTTGGTGTCTCTCGTGCTATCCAGGAATTTGGCCTTGCCCGGTTCAAAAGCAATGTGACCAAGACAATGAAGGGCTTTGAGTACATCTTGGCCAAGCTACAAGGGGAGGCCCCTTCCAGAACACTCGTTGAGACAGCCAAAGAGGCCAAAGAAAAAGCAAAGGAGACGGCACTGGCAGCTACAGAGAAGGCCAAGGACCTGGCCAACAAGGCCGCCACCAAGCAGCAGCAGCAGCAGCAGCAGCAGCAGCAGCAGCAGCTCGTGTAGCTGCTCCCTTCCTCTCCCTTCTCTTCACTGTACTTGACTATTAAAGATGCGCCTCCAGCCCTCTCTGCTGCCTGGGTGGTGGGTTCAAGTGGTGTCCTGGCCTGCATCTGCAGTACACCCTGCTCAGCATCTACTGAGCCCAGCCTCCTTTTACCCCATTGGGCAGAAAGGTGCAGTGACTGGCCCAGGGTCACAAGCAGTACACAGGTGAAGCAGCGACACACGATAGACTGTGCGCTCCATGAGGGCTCCTTGTTTTATTCTCTGATGTGTCCCAAGTACCCCGAAGAATATTTAGCACATAATAGGCACTCAATAAACACGTGAATTGATTGGCCCCAGGAAAAAAACACATGATGACAGCATATGCTGGAGAAGATATGGGGTAAGGGGGATGCTCCTCTATTGCTGGTGGGAGTGCAAACTTGTACAGCCACTTTGGATATCAGTATGACGATTTCTCAGAAAATTAGAAGACAATCTACCTCAAGGCTTAGCAATACTGCTGTTGGGTATATACCCAAAAGATGCCCAATCATACCACAAAAGCATGTGCTCAACTATGTTCATAACAGCATTATTTGTAATAGCCAGAACCTGAAAACAACCTAGATGCCCCTCAACCGAAGAATGGATAAAGAAAATGTGGTACATTTACACAATGGAGTACTACACAGTGATAAGAAAATGGCATCTTGAAATTTGCAGGCAAATGGATGGATCTAGAAAAAGCCACGTTGAGTGAGGTAACCCAGACCCAGAAAGACAAATATAATTGTACTCATTCGTAAGTAGCTTTTAGGCATAAACCAAAGAAAAACTAGCCTACAGGCCACAACCACAGAGAAACTAGACAATAAGGAGGACCCTAAGATAGAGATAGATGGATCTACATAGAAAGGAGAAAAGGACAAGATCTCCTGAGTAAACTGTGAGTGTCGGGGGTCACAGGAGAGGGTAGACGGGAGAGAGGAGGAAGGGAAGGGAGTGGGAAAATGTATAGCTCAGTAAAAACAATGAAAAACATTTTTAAAAAAAAGAATGTATGGGTCCCATATATGGCCCTTGGCAGCATCCCTGCCCAGACATCACCATGGCCCCAGGTTGCAGGCAGGCCTCCTACATGACTGCTCCTAACTGCGTTCATTTCTTCCTTTCTGCCTTGTCCACAGCACATGGACCATTCTGCTTCTCTTTCTCTCCCATTTTTTTACTATATATTTGCTCATCATGGTGGGGTCCACCTGTCTGGCACCACAAGGTGCAGAGAGGGCCCGTGAATGTCTTCCCGCCAGCCACACCCTTGAGGGCCCAGGCTGGCCGATGGCTGGCTAGCCCCCACCTGAGAAGAACTGCAAGACTGGGTTGGAGGTGGCCTAATTTGCTTTCCTGATGGTAGCCATTCTGATCCAGATGAGATAGAATAAAAGAGTTTTAATTTGTTTCTTTGATAGACAAAAGTTTGGTTCTTTTTTTCCACTTGTGTTTCATCCTTCTAATTAAAACTGTCTTTTCAAGAAAAAAAAAAGAATGTGTGAGTTCAAGAAATTCTCTTGAGTTCCAGGTGAACCAATATAGTGTCTCCAGAACTTAATGTAGCCTTGTCTCGTAAAGCTGGAACCAATCAGTCAGCAACCGCACTCCTATCCACCCATGTAGAGAAGCTCCTGCACATGTATGTGCCCCAGGAGAAGTAGACAAGAAGTGGCACTGGCAATTCCAGAGTGAGTAGAAGTCGCCCACAGCCCAGCTGCCCACCCACAGTGCAGCAGAGAAATGACATTCGCAGGGAACTATAATGCGTTGGAGCAAAAATCCACGAACAAGGGTCACAAGTGACAATGCAGATGGATCTCTAAAATGAAGTGCTGAGCAAAAGAGAGCCACAGGAAAATAGGTGTGAGTCCACTTACATAGATCAGAGCAATGCAAAACATAGAAATACATCCTTTGGTGAGGCAAATGTGCAGTAGAACTAGAAGAAAAGTAGGGAAGGATAAAACTCTGAAGGGGGCATGGTCAGAGGCAGGACTGGTAAGAGGTGTTTGTGGCTATGAAGACTTGAGGTGATGCTATATATTTTAAATTGGGGTTGGGTTTTTCACTACTCTGTTAGATTTTTCTCTTTATGCCATATACATTATGTATAATGCACATAATGTTCCTGCTAAATATTTAATAAAGCACTTTTCTTTTTTCCCTTTTATTGAAAATAGTTTTTCCCCCTCACCTCATATATCTTGATTATAGTTTCCCCTCCCTCTACTTCTCCTAATTCTTTCCCATATCCTTCTCTGATCCATTCCCTTTCTGCCTCATTAGAAGACAAATAGGTTTGGGGGGTGGTAGCACAAGCCTTTAATCCCAGCACTCGGGAGGCAGAGGCAGGCAGATCTCTGTGAGTTCAAGGCCAGCCTTGTCTACAAGAGTTAGTTCCAGGACAGGCCCCAAAGCCACAGAGAAACCCTGTCTCTAAAAATAAAACAAAACAAAAACAAAAAAAAAGATAAACAGGTACCTGGCAGTGGTTGTTTTTTTCCCAGCTGATTATTTACCAGTTTGCCTTTAATCCCAGCACTTGGTAGGCAGAAGCAGGTGAATCTCTGTGGATTTGAAGCCAGCCTGGTCTACAGAGTGAGTTCCAGAACATCCAAAGCTACACAGAGAGATCCTGTCTCAAAAAACAAAACAAGAGCACCTGGGTTCAATTCCAAGCACCCACATGGTAGTTCAAAACTGGAACTCCAGTTCCAGGGACTCCAACACCCTCACACATGTAAGCAAAAGACCAATTCATATAAAGTAAAAATGAATAAATTTTCCTTTAAAAAAGAAAAAATAAAGCAAAAAAACAGGCTTCTACGGAATAATAATAAAATATAATAAGATAAAACAAAAGCTAACACATTGAAATAGAACAAAACAACCAAGCAGAATGAAAAGAGCCCAAGAGAAGGTCCAAGAAACAGAGACTCACTCTTCTTCACACTCAGGAATCCCATAAAACCACTAAATAGATGCCACCATATCTATGTAAAGAATCCATGTAAAAAGAGAGAAGAGAATGTGTGTGTGTGTGTGTGTGTGTGTGTGTGTGTGTACGATTTAAAAAAATCTTTAAAGTCCTGCCACATTATGAGACAAGGAACCTCCAAAGATGCATTGAGTTCATTTTCTGTTGGCCATCTGCCGGGCATATAGCCTAGTTTTAAGAGCAGTTTGTTTCCCCAGTGAGATTCTCTAGGAGACAGCTAAATTTTCATTTGCATGTCTTTAGCAATAGGAAAGAGCTTCTGGGTTAGGGATGGGGCATATGCCCACTTCTCCTTTCGGGTACAGAATGCTATGTAGGGCAAACCTGTGCAGGCCCAGCACATGCTGCCCCGCTCTCTGAGTTCACATGTTCACTGATCTTATTGACTTAGAGGGCTTTGTTTTCTTGGTGTCCTCCATCCCCTGTGGCTCTTACATTCTTTCAGCCTCCTCTTCCAAAGGGCTTACTGAACCCTCAAGGGGAGGATCTGATGGAGATATTCCATTTAGGACTGAGAATTCCAAGGTCTCTCACCCTCTTCATAATGAATGGCTGTGGTCTCTGTATCTGTTCTCAGCTGCTGCAGGAGGAAGCTTCTCTGATGACGGCTGAATAAAGTGCTGATCTATGAGTATAGTTTGAAGACAAAGTCAAGAGACCGGTGTCCCAAGTCAAGCAGAGGTCAGTTCTCCTTTATACATGGAAACCCTGAGGCCTCAACTGATTGGGAGAGGGCCACCCACATGATAGTAATAATGACAGGCAGAGATGTCTACTTTGGTTGGTCCAGCAACCAAATGTTCATTTTGTCCAGAAACATCCTCAGAGACTCCCACAGAATAGTGTCTGGCCAGCTGTCTGAACCCAGTCAGGTGTATATATCGGAAGAAGAGCCGCTGTGACTTCACTCCATCAGGATGGGGACAATTAGCCTCTCGGCTGCTATCCCCTTAGCCACTGCCTGTGGAAGGTTTCTGTATATTATCACCTAAGATACCTGTGCTAGCCAGACATGATGGTGCACATCTTTAATCCCAGAACTCAAGAGGAAGAGGCAGGCAAATCTCTGTGAGTTTGAGCCAGCTTGGTCTACATAGGACAGCCAGAATTACATAATGAGTCATTGTCTCAAAACACCAAAAACAAAAACAAAAACCAGCATTAAGTCCTCTGAATAGTTACAGAGGTACAACTTGGGTTTTCATGAACTGAGCAATTAGTACAGTTTCTAAAGGAAACATCAGAAACAGACACTAAGTCTACTGAAGATGGCCTGAGTCATTCTTATCAAGTCATATTGAAGTCACTCCTATATCCTTTCCTTAACTCTTTTTTTTTTCTTCCAACTTCAGCATACACAAAACAGGAAGGAAAAAGAAATAGAGGGAGGTTGGGAATGATCAATCAAATAAGCCAGCCCTGCAACGGAGGAGCACAAATGTCCATGGAACCAGAGGAATGGCAAAAGTATAGAGGCAGCCAGGCCTCCGAGTCTGGCTGCAGCCCAGATGCAGAGGAGTGCGCGCAGCCCTTCAGGGCACAGGTGCTTCCATGCTTCCTGCTATATCCCAGTCCCGTAGCAGAAAGGCCAGCAACCCCTGCTTCCACCTGCCCGGGGGTCACATCACCCACAGGAAGCCAGAAAACCCCAAGTCATGAAGACTATATATAGTTTGGGTCCCAGAACCCATGTAACCCCCTGGGCATGGTCCTCCAATGCCTGTAACCCCAGCACCGAGGAAGGGTAGTGATTGGAGAATTTCTGGGGTTTGCTGGTGATCAGCCTTCTGTAAAAGCAAAGCTCACAAGCTCCAGGTTCCCAGGTGAGGGGCGGGACCATGAAAGGACTCTCTGAGGAACAGCTCATAGGGGCTCCAAAAATGAGGCCAGAGACGGGGACTTACAGGCCAAGTCCCCTGTGTTATCATATTGGATAGAACATTTCTCAGATGACTAACATTTCTGCGTGCAGAACTGGTTACAGTCTAAGTAAAAGGCTGAGACAGGAAAAGGGACAGAGATTGTCCTT